ACCACAATATGTCCAACACTCAAAGTTTTCTTTTTTATGTTTTAAAAGTGCAATATATATACAATATATATGTAGAGTGGTAAAATTAAAATGACACTTTTTTAATATGCGGTGCGGTTCGGTTAAAACCGCACCTTTCGGACGGAGAACCGAACCGCACCGAAACATCTGCGGTTTTCCAAAATCCAAACCGCACCGTTAACCGAGATCGTCAAAAACCGCACCGAACCGCACCAAATCGCCCGGTTCGGTTCGGTTTTTCAGTTTCGGCTCGGTTTTGCTCACCCTCACTGACAACATCCTTTCAATTTACGAAAATATATTAAAAAAGAAAAACAAAAAATAAAATATAAATAAACTCCGCCATTCTCAAATTTTGCATCGATCATTTTTTGTCCTCTATTGATCCGATCCGATCTACAAACCCCCGGCGCCACCGTCTACGACCGGATCCCTGACTCGACCCGGCACCTGAATGGCGGCCTCACGGCGGCTCCGCGACCTCCAATCGCAGCCCGGCAACAAGATCTGCGTCGACTGCCCCCAGAAGAACCCCCAGTGGGCATCCGTCTCCTACGGCGTCTTCATGTGCCTCGAGTGCTCCGGCAAGCACCGCGGCCTCGGCGTCCACATATCCTTCGTCCGATCCGTCACCATGGACTCGTGGTCCGAGATCCAGCTGAAGAAGATGGAGCTCGGGGGCAACGAGCGGTTCAACGCTTTCGTTTCTCGGTACGGCGTCCCCAAGGAGACCGACATCGCCGTGAAGTACAACACGAAGGCGGCCGCCGTCTATCGGGACCGCGTCCAGGCGCTCGCCGAGGGTAGGCCGTGGCACGATCCGCCGGTGGTGAAGGAGGTCTTGAGTTCGGGTAATAGCTACAGTAGTAAGCCGCCGTTGGGCGGCGGCGGGGGGAGCAGAAACGGTGGTTCCGGCGGTGGTGGGGGCGGTTGGGATAGTTGGGATAGTTATGATGATGGAGGTTTTAGTGGAAATGGTAGCAATAATATTAGGAGGAATAATACCGTGGGTGATTTTAGGAGTTCCGGTAGTGGGGGGAGTGCACCATCACGGTCGAAATCGACTGAGGATATATATTCGAGGGCACAGCTGGAGGCTTCAGCCGCGAATAAGGAAGGTTTTTTTGCTAGGAAAATGGCTGAGAATGAGTCCAGGCCGGATAATATTCCTCCTTCGCAAGGGGGAAAGTATGTTGGGTTCGGATCGAGTCCGCCGCCAATGCCGAGGAAGAATTCCGAGGGGGATGTTCTTTCAGTTGTTACGCAGGTGGGGTTGTGAGGATTATTGTGGTTTAGTATGAATGTGATTTGTGCGCGTGTTTGTGTATATAATGTATATAATTCTGTTTCTTGCATATGCAGGGATTTGGCATGTTATCCATGGCTGCTGCATCGGCTGCTAGTGTTGTTCAAGCCGGAACTAAGGATCTTACTTCCAAGGTTGTACATTTTTATGGTTTAACGTGTAATTTGATTGGAAAGTCATGTTGTTTCATGTAACCGCCTGACCCATTCCATTTTACTCTTTTGTTGTTGAGTTATAATGTGTACTGTAATTGTCGTGATAGCACTTGTTTCGTTTTCAAGTTATGTAACCTGGATCATGGAATATGTTTAGTAGACCCAAAAGGCTCAGGAATGAGTTCAGTTATATAAGTTCAGGTTCAGGCATGTATAGCTTTTACAGCCTGCATTTTTTGCAGAAATTTGTCGTGTACTTTTTGCAGAAATTTGTCGTGTACTTTTTTTGCATTCAGCATGTGTGGAACTGAAATATGATTCACATTGGTCTCTTGTTTGCAGGTCAAAGAAGGGGGATATGATCACAAGGTCAACGAAACTGTTAGCGTTGTTACTGCAAAGACATCAGAGATTGGACAAAAGACATGGGGGCTTATGAAAGGTGTGATGGCTTTGGCCTCCCAGAAAGTCGAAGCATACGCCAAGGAAGGCTCAGGTTCAGGCTGGCAGCGGAATGAGAGTGATAATAGTGGTTATTATCAGGAGTTTGGACAGGAGTCCAAAGGATGGAATTCTTCTACTGGGACACAAAGTTCATCAAGCCAACAATTTACTTCTGGAGGAAAAACCTCATCAAGCCAAAAGTCTAACTCTGTTAGCTCTGGTTCTTGGGATGATTGGGATTCGTATACCAAAGACAACAGGAAAGAAGAGTCGGGGAAGGTGACAGCATCCCATAATGGAGATGGATGGGCAGGTTGGGATGATGATAAAGACGATGGATTTGATAGTTTTTATCAAAGTGCACCTGATAAGAAGTCAGCGGGTTATAATGGAAAACCGGATGCAAAGTGGTCTGAAGGTGGGTTTGTTTGAGGTTAGTATACTTTATTCTTAATGATTGATCCTTTTTTTTTTTTTTCGGTTTCACTTTGTAATAACCCATTGTGTTGGGTTTGTGTGAGGAAAATGAACCATAAATTTGAAATGTCTGGTGATGGACCTGCAAAAAGCCCAAATCAGCTGTTTGCTTGTGTTGTACGAACCCTTTAATTTCGTTTTTAGACTATATTTGGATTTGAAATCACTGTAGTTGTTTTATTTTTAGTTGATACATTCATTGTGATTACTCGAACATCATTGAAACCGATGTATTCCGCCAGTTCAGTTGTCATTGTCCTTTTTCTATGTAGTGATGTGTTTTTGGTTTTGAATGTTGTGGTCAGTTGCTCCCTTTAAGTATTATTAATTGAGTGATCAGTGCTAATGGATGTTTAATTTGTATTAGGGTAAGATTTTACTTGGCCTTGGGGCAAAGTTAGCAACTCTTACAGACAATAGATATATGAATTGCTTCTGCTAATCAAAGTTAAAGATTAGTGACTGGTGAGTGCTTTCGTCCAGTTGTTGAAAGGTTCTTCTTTCAAGTTGCAGTTCTTTTGAGGTCCTTCTTTTAAGGTTTTTGCTAGTAAGCGTTAATACTTAATGTGATTGAGTATTAGGCTATGTTCGGTAAAACTAGTTGATAAGCTAGCTTATAGCTTAGCAGTAATTTTCGAGCTTATAACTTATGACTTACACTAAAAAGCTAGCTTATATGATAAAAATGTTTGGTAAAAATAGCTGATAAGCTAAGCTGAAATAAAAAATTCAACGAGCTTGTTTGAATAGTTACTCAAAGAAGCTTATCAAATAAGGTTGAACTTTTTATAAAAGCTCGTTCTATCAAACAGAGGGAACTTATAATCTAACCAAATAAGTTATAAGTTAGCTTATTTGTCTAACAAACATAGCCTTAAATGTTGAATAAAAATAGAGGGCATGTTGAATTTTACCACACCAGAAAAACCCTCCCAGACAGCAAATTGTCCTTCCTTGTAAGAACAAAATTTGGAATAAAGGCTCAGCATTTATTAGTTTTTAACACAAGAAAAGAAAATCCCATGTGGGGAGCCAACATGGGAGCCAATAGTCGGCTCCTTGTGGAGTCAACACCCAATTAAATTCCTCCATGTAGGGATGTCTCACGTAGAGCCTATGTGGGACATCCCCACATGGAGCAATTTAATTGGGTGTTGGCTCCCTAGAATTACTGTATAGTCATTTGTTCTCTCTGTCACACTTATTATGATCCATTTTTAGTACAAACGCAATTCTCACTAATGTGAAAACAAATATTTAATGGACACAAAAATGTCAAATGTAAGTAAAATTTCCAAATGGTTGTATTATCTCACCACTCACACACTGAGGGCAAATTCAATCTTACCGGTAAAGGTAATAGAATTGAATTTTCCCACACCAAGTTACCAGGAAAAAGAAATGTGCTCACTGCTCACTAGTCTGGTGAGCAAGCAAGCATTTTGAGAGCGTGCTTGTATACAAATAAATCGCTCAAAATGAGTTTAAGGCTTTGGCTTCCGTAGCCTTTTTTCAAGGGTAGTACCATCTTTTGCGGTGAAAATCCCCGAACCCTTTCTCTGCTAGTCTTTTCGAAGGTAAATGAATGTTTTTCTGGTCTTAGCAGTTAATTTTTTTAAAAAATGTGTTATTATTAGTTGTTAGTGTGATTTTAATTTTATATTAAAATAATATTTAAAATAAAGTTATTAAAGTTGATTTTATGTAAAATTTTTTTTACGTAAAAAAAAAAGTTAAGTTCTGGACAAAAAAAAAAAAA